TGTTGAAGTCTGAATTTCTTCAGTTGTTGGTTCCTCAGTACTGACAACTGATGTAGTCTGAATTTGTTCAGTTGTTGGTTCCTCAGTACCGACAAATGTTGTAGTCTGAATTTCTTCAGTTGTTGGTTCCTCAGTACTGACAACTGATGTAGTCTGAATTTGTTCAGTTGTTGGTTCCTCAGTACCGACAACTGTTGTTGTCTGAATTTCTTCAGTTGTTGGTTCTTCAGTACTGACAACTATTGGCATCTGAATTTCTTTAGTTGTTGGTTCCTCAGTATTGACAACTGTTGTAGTTTGAATTTCTTCAGTCGTTGGTTCCTCAGTACAGTCAACCGCTATTGTCTGAGTTTCTGCAGTTGTCGGTGTCTGAGTTTCTGCAGTTGTTGGTTCCTCAGTATAATCAACCTGAGTTTCGTCCGTTGTTGGTTCCTCAGTACATTCAACCGCTATTGTCTGAGTTTCTGCAGTTGTTGGTGTCTGAGTTTCTTTAGTTGTTGGTTCCTCATTACCATCAATATCTGGTATGTGAGTTTCTTCAGTTGCTGACGTCTCAGTTTCATCAAGCGCTAATGTAGGTGTTTCTGCAGTTGTTGGTTCCTCAGTACTATTACTCGTGGATGTCTGAGTTTCTTTAGGTATGGGTTCCTTGGTAACATCAACAATTGGTTCTTGGGTTTGTTTAGTCGCTCTTTTAGTTGTTCTTTTAGTTGTTTTTTTAGGTGTTTTTTTAGTTGTTTCTTTAGGTTTTGGTTTCATGGTAGTTTTAACTGTTGATACCTGTGTTGTGTGAGGAGGTGAGTAGCAAGATATCCTGCCAGTAGACGAATTGTAAATTTTTATGCAGTGCGACTGTTTTTTATTTTTGGTTGTTGTACTTTGGGTTATTACTTTAGGTGTTGTTTCCTGGACACCATGAATTGATATTGTCTGAGTTTCTTCAATTATTGGTTCCTCAGTATCATCAATCGCTGATGTTTGAGTTTTTTCAGTGGTCAGTTCCTCAGTACCGTCAACTGTTGGTGTCTGAGTTTCTTCAGTTATTCGTTCCACAGTATAATCAACCGCTATAGTCTGAGTTTCTGCAAATATCGGTGACTGAGTTTCTTCAGTTGTTAATTGCTCAGTATAATCAACCGCTAATGTTTGAGCTTTTTCAGTTGTTTGTTTCTCAGTACCGTCAACTGTTGGTGTCTGAGTTTCTTCAGTTGTTTGTTCCTTAGTACAATCAACCGCTATTGTCTGAGTTTCTGCAGTTGTCGGTGTCTGAGTTTCTTTAGTTGTTAGTTCTTCAGTACAATCAACCGCTATTGTCTGAGTTTCTGCAGTTGTCGGTGTCTGAGTTTCTTCAGTTGTTAGTTCCTCAGTACAATCAACCGCTATTGTCTGAGTTTCAGCAGTTGTCGGTGTCTGATTTTCATTAACTGTTAATTGCTTAGTATAATCAACCGCTGGTGTTTGAATTGCTTCGGTTATTGGTTCCTCAGTGGAATCAACCGCTGGTGTCTGAATTTCCATAGTTAGAGGTTGCTCAGTACCGTCAACCGTTGATGTCAGAGTTTCTTCTTGAGATGTTTCCGGCGTTACATTTGTTGATAAACCTGTTTCGGTTGTTGGTGTAATAATATCTGTAACCTTTGCTGTTAGACAAAAGATATTTTCGTATTCTGTACCTCTCATCATTTCGCATAATATTTCTCTTAGCTGTTCCGGTTCCGGCCTAATTATGTCATCAGGGATAATCCTTCGAATCTTGTCTGTAGTAATATCGTAGATATCTCCATTTCGTGGACAGAAAAGAATTTCATATATGGTTCCTAGAGTTAAGTCGCACACAGTGTTTTGAATTATGATTCCGTGTGTCGTATTGATTTTTCTTTCATTTGTAATCGTCACTATATAGACTTCTCTTTTAATATCAAAAATTAATTTATATATAGTATCCGTTGTACAATAAATCGCCTCGTATATGGTTCCAGTCAACTCTTGACACATCAAATTTTGTACTTCCGTATTTGACAACCCGAAATCCTTAGGCGTTGGGCAGTCATACTCAATAATTGAATCCTCATTTGAAGTTTTTTTTATACACATCATTTTTTCAATTGTTATGTTATTTAGTAGCAAAATTTCAGTAATAGAATGATCAGTAACAATTTCAGTGAAAGAACGCTCAGTGTCTATATCAATGTCAATCCCTGGCAGTAAAGTAAAAGTATCTAAAGTTTTAATACAAAAAATATCTTTGTATTTTGTTCCACACATTTTCTCGCATATTTGTTTTTTTATTTCGTTCGGTTTCAGTCTGGATATTTCTGGAGGTATTGATCTCGAAATTACATCTACACTAGTATCATGCATGTCGTTTCGTGGACAAAAAATTATTTCATATATTGTTTCTTTCATTTCTGCACACAGAAGATTCTCTATATAGATATATATTTGCGAGTGATTTCGTGAATGCGTTGTTATAATAATGCTATCGGTAATTTCTGAAATGATATTAAGTATACCTGGTGATGGGCAAAAGATGGCTTCGTAAATAGATGCCTGCATATCTTTACACATCAATGTTTGCATTTTTTCGGGTTCCATTTCTTCAGCTTTTGGGCAAAATATTATTTCAAACGCGGTTCCAAATGCCATCTGACACATTGTTTCTTGCGATTCTAATTGAGTGGTACTAGTTTCATAGGCTAATGGTGTGGTATATGTGTTAACGTCTAAATCTGTTTCATCACTTTCATTCGACTGCGAATCGGGCGTCTCTGTTTTAAAGCAAAATAAAATTTTGCATATACAGCCATTTATTTTAGTCATTTTCTCACATATCGACTTACTCGTTTGCTCTGGCGTTGGTTTAGGTACGTCTACAGGTATATCTCTTACAACATATTTATTACTTATAGAATACAAATCGTCGTTTCGAGGGCAGTAAGCGATTTCGTATATTGTTTCTCTCATTTCTGCACACAGAAGATTTTCTATGTACATATATATTTGTGTGCGATTTTGTGGATGCGTTTGTATTGAAATGCTAGTGGTGTTATCTGAAATTGTATTATGTATATCATCTGGTGATGGGCAAAAGATGGCTTTGTATATAGATTCACCCATTTCTTCACACATCAATATATGGACGTCTTGGGATTCCGCAATTTCTGTACCTATTGTGCAAAATAAGTTTTCAAAATTGGTTCCAAATGCCATCTGACACATTTTTTCTCTCGATTTTATAACTTCGATTTGAAAAGTAGTATTATAAATGGTATTATAGTCATCATCGATCATGTGAGGAGTGGTACCAGTTTCGTAGTTTGATGCTGTGGTAGTATATGTGTTAACGTCTAAATCTGTTTCGGCAGTTTCATTCGACTGCGAATTGGGCGTCTCTGTTTTTAAGCAAAATAACATTTTGCATATACAGTCATTTATTTTAATCATTTTCTGACATATAGAATTACTCGTTTTCTCTGGCGTTGGTCTAGGTACGTCTATAGGTATATCTCTGATAACATATTCCTGAGTTGCAGAATATAAATCGTCGTTTCGGGGGCAGTAAATGATTTCGTATATTGTTTCTCCCATTTCTGCACACAGAAGATTCTCTATGTACATATATATTTGCGTGCGATTTCGTGGATGCGTTTGTAAAGAAATGCTAGTGGTCGTTTCTGAAATTGAATTAAGTATATCATCTGGTGATGGGCAAAAGATAGCTTTGTATATGGATTCACGCATTTCTTCACACATCAACGTACGGACGTCTTGGGGTTCCGGCATTTCTGTAGGTATTGTGCAAAATAAGTTTTCAAAATTGGTTCCAAATGCCATCTGACACATTTCTTCTCTCGATTTTATAACTTCGATTTGAAGAGTAGTATTATAAGTGATACTAGTTTCATAGTTTGATGGTGTAGTAGTATATGTGTTAACGTCTACATCTGTTGTTTCAGTAGTTTCATTCGACTGTAAATCAGGCGTCTCTAATTGTGAACAAAAGAATATTTCATATATACTACCACTCATTTTCTCACACATCATGTCACGCATTTCCTGGGGCGTTGGCTTACGTACATCGGCAGGTATGATTCTTTCAACATATTTCAAAGTTGAAGAATGCAAATCGCCCTCTAAGGGGCAGTAAAAGATTCCATATATCGTTTCACTCACTTCTTTACACATAAGTTCCTCTATTGTCAGGTATAATGATGAGTGGTCTCCTGGATGCGTTGGTACTTCAATATTTTGTGACACTAAAGTAAATAAAAAGCGTACGAGATCTTCTGAGCAATAGATGGCCTCGTATACAGATGCAATCATTTCACTACACATCATCGACTGTACATCTTCGGGTGAAAATTCAGTATTAGTCGCGCAGAAAATCATTATGAGTTCGGTACCTAATGATTTTTCACAGAGTACATTCGATACGTCATTTGTATATGACGTTTCAATACTGTTATCTACATTTTTTTCAATTGTATCATTACCTTGTATTTCCTTAGATCCTTGTTGTTCTTGGCTAGGGGTTGTGGGGCTAGGGGTTGTGGGGCTAGGTGTTTTGGCAACTTCGGCTGTGGTGGTTCCCGGTTTCTGTTCTTTACTTAGCCAGCCTGCTAATTTGTCCTTTACATAGTTTAGAGCTGTTTCTGGCCAAAATCTTGATTCTACCGCTGGTGGAGGGCTGGTTGAGGAAATTGATCGATAATTACTGTAAAGTTGTGGATTGAGTTCTGAATTGTCCTGGCCTTCACGTAGTTTCCATTTAAAGGGTAAGTTACGAAGCAAACTTTGCCTCAGTAACGTGTGATGTTCTGTTTTGCTCAGTCGAGGTATGCCAGGGTAATTAACCCATGACACTGAATCAATGCCACCACTGTATATAAATATTATTAACCACCAAAATACTGAAACAGAGAAATAATAACATAGTAATCAGTATCCAAAAGAAAAATTATTGTCCAAAGTGAACAGTGCCCTAAAAGGTTTCATTAAACATTTGGACTTACGTGGTCCGATTCCCATGTTCTAGCCGACATTTGTCGAAAGAATGCCATTGAATAAAGAATCATGTACAATTTTCATCTGAAGCTAATTTATAATTAATGGGTAATTATATGAACATATTATATTACAGATTTGCAATAATGTACAAGCAATTAGTGGCGGATATCTATAATTAAAAGTAAATGTGACGAATAGTGCGTACTCGTAGATTTATTTGATATTAGTTCCGGTAATATCTCATTATAAATGTAATGATTGGTCGCACCACCAACTATGAATGATGTTATGTGGTATCGAAATAAATTAAGGTTTAAATAATCAAAAATAAATTAAAATAAAAAATACATAACCATCATGGTTATTTGAGTAGGCACTACATAACAATTACTATATACTACATAAAAAATAACAAGATGGCTCGGCTGGTGCAATGGACGAGTAGAGTATTTTGGGGTTCATTCCCTCACTCAATAATAATTCTTTGTATGATCTACAAATTGTTCTTGCGGTTCTGAATGTAATTGATCTGTAAGTTTGTGAATGTATCTGCGATATATAAAAAGTCCTAAAGGGGTCATGACTTTCTTTTTAAAAACGAGATCAAAATAGAAATGCGTGAAGCATTTTTAAAGTTAAATAAGTGCTTCTTGTATTTTTAATGTTGACCTTTTTTCTTCTGATAAAAGTACAAGTATATGGCAATAAGCTCACCTATTGTGACATGGGACTTTTAACTTAAATGGTGTAAAGTGGGTAAGTATGTACACTGTACAGTGGCACTACGTGCCATAATGTGCACTTCTACAAACCTTTTCGGGCACACTAGATATATATATATTTACATCCCGCTATCGATTGGACGTCCCATGAAGGCAAAAGTGCATTTAATCTGGCGTCCACCTGCTTTTGGCGTCCGCATATCGGACGCCACTTTTTTGGTCTATGCAACTTAGGTCCTTTTGGTCCTGGCTACACGTAGGTTAAAAATCGACAGAGGCCAAAAGATCGGTTCAATGGCTGTTATAGTATTTTGAAAAGTTCCCAAAGAAATCTCAGCGCGGATAGAGCGCTGCTGTAGCGCGTATATCCACAG